GATACTAATACTAATACTCATACTCGTACCAATACTAATACAAATACTAATATTCATATTGATACTAATACTAATACTAAGAATAAGACTAATATTGATACTAATACTAATAATAATATTGATACTTATATTGATAATTATAGTGATATTGATATTAATACTAATACTAATATTAATACTCATACTAATACTAATATTAATACTCATACTAATACTAATATTGGTACTAATACTGGTACTAATACTGGTACTAATATTAATATTAATACTAATATTAATACTAATACTAATATTGATACTAATACAAATATTAATAATAATTGATATTAATAATAATATTGATACTACTAATACTCATACTCATACTCGTACCAATACTAATACTAATTCTAATAATAAAACTAAAATTAATACTAATATTCATATTGAGACTAATACTAATACTAAGAATAACACTAATACTGATACTAATACTAATAATAATATTGATACATACATTGATAATTACAGTGATATTGATACTAATATTAATACAAATACTAATACTAATACTAATACTAATACTAATACTAATACTAATACTAATACTAATACTAATACTAATACTAATACTAATACTAATACTAATACTAATACTAATACTAATACTAATACTAATACTAATACTAATACTAATACTAATACTAATACTAATACTAATACTAATATTAATACTAATACTAATACTAATATTGATACTGATACTAATATCGATACTCATATTGATATTCATAGTAATACTAATACTAATATTCATACTCTGATACTTATACTAATACTGATACTCATACTAATATGATATTCATACTCATACTGATACTCACAGTCATACTGATACTCGTACTAATACTGATACTAATATTGATATTGATACTGATACTAATACTGATACTGATACTGATAGTGATACTAATATCGATATTGATATTGATACTGATACTGATACTGATATTGATATTGATACAAATGTTGATACTGATACTGATACTAATACTAATACGGATACGAATACTTAAACTGAAACTGATATTGATACTGATACCGATACTGATAATGATAATGATACTGATATTGATACTGATACCGATACTGATAATGATAATGATAATGATATCGATATTGATACTAATATTAATACCGATACTGATATCGATACCGATGCCGATGCCGATGCTGATACCGATACTGATGCCGATACTAATGCCGATACCGAGAATGATATCGATACTGATATTGATATTGATACTGATATTTAGACTAATATTAATATTAATATTAATATTAATATTAATATTAATACTAATATTAAAACTAATATTAACACTAATATTAATACTAATACTATTACTAATACTAATATTAATACTAATACTATTACTAATACTATTACTAATACTAATACTAATATTAATACTAATACTAATACTAATCTTAATATTTAT